CAAAGAAAAGAGGGAATAAATAATGTACACTGCATTGAAACAGATGAGGGAAAGAACTGCTTAAAAGGAATATATGATTAGATATTATTTGTGTGACAACAGCGCAGAATAAGAACTGCATCATAAAATGGACACGGGGAGGGGGACTTGTACAACAATGAAATAATTTTTTTTTCAAAGCGAAAGCAAAATAGGGGGTGGTGTGGGCAGGGAGGAAAATGTACAACAAAGAATGAATGGAAATTCAAGTTCTCTATAAACTTTCATTAATATCTCAATAGAAAAAAGAAAGTCAATCAGTATCCTATCTGTTTCTAGGGCCTTATTTTTTTGCCGGTGTCTTTACTGCAGCTTGAACTTTTTCCTGTTACCCTTGGCTCTTGTTCATATGGTGCTTCCTGAAATATATCAGTGTCAGCCAGTTCTTTTTGGTACAGTGACACTGTGTGTTCCTTCCATCTTCTTTTCATGCTTTCTGGATCATTCAAGATTTTGTCCAGGGTGTCTTTCAGTATTACAAATTGAGGCTTGAATTTGTTTTTAAGTTCTTTCAGCTTGAGGTGTTAAGAGCGAGTTCTTCCCTTTTTATTCTCTGATTCCAGCTGTTTGCACATTTCATTGTAACACTTTGCTCTGTCTTAAGTAGCTGCCCTTTGAAATATTATGTTCAGCTTTTTTACTTTAGTATCTCTTCTCTTTGTTTTGGCTTCTCCTTGCTCTCATGGAATTTTCAGTTTCTTCTGAGATTCATTTTGGCTTTTCATTTCTCCTGTCTTTTGCTCTCTTCAAGGATAATATTCTTTATTTCATTCCATGCCCCCTCTGGTCCTTGATCAATGGTGATCAATGCCTCAAATCTGAGGCATTGCATATTCTTAAGATAATTTTTAAATTCAGGTGGAATCAGCTCAAGGTTATATTTTGCTTCTTGTGGATTTGTTTGCATCTTCTTCAGCCTTAATTTGATCTTGCACATGAGTAACTGACGGTCTCTTCCACAGTCAGTACCTGGTCTGGTTCTGACTCCTGCTGTTAAGCTTCTCCACCAATTCTTTCCACAGGGGTAGTCAATCTCATTTCTGTGCTGAGTCTCAGGTGAGGTCTATTTGTAAAGTCACCATTTGTGTGTCTTAAAGTATTTCCTAATCAATTCTCTCTCCTGCCTCATTTCTGTTACAAAGTCTTTTTTCTGACTACCATTCCTTCCTCATTGTTTCCAACTTTTGCATTCCAGTCTCAAGTAAATTGTAATG